CGGTGGTATCATCTCAGCACCTAAGCACACACTCACCAATAAACATCTGCAGTAAGAATTAATATATGTGTGTATGTACATACATCTGTATGAATGAATGAATGAATGAATGAAATTACTAGATTGGAGCAACTCAATCAATGAAGTACTTGTATTCTACTTGTCCCCTTAAATCTATTTGCCAGTTCTCCCTAGGCTCCTGGGCACCCACGTAGAGGCATTTCCCAGCATTCCTCAAAGCTTGCTGGGGCCTTATGACCATAATCTTACCAGGCAAGTGGCAATGAGTGGGATGTATACAATGTTTAACTCTTTTGATTAAAAGAAAATGGCTTGCTTTGGATGTCTGCAGAGTGCCACAACGACATAGCTTCAACCCTATGATAAGGACAAAGCCTCAAGGGAGGAGAGTGAGGATGGATGGAAAGAATCTGCCCAGATAAGCTGCACTCCCAGGTTGCTTCATGAGAGAAGTACATTTCTATTTTATTTAAGCCATTTTACGTTGGGGTCTCTTTGTTACACCAGCCTAGTCTTTACACTGACTGTTACAACTCAGGCATGAATATATTCTCTCTGTGTGTGTAGGGCGGGGAGGGTGTTAAGGAGCATTGCAATGCTTAACTAAATTGATCACATTTCAGCCAATGCGGTCACCTGGTAACTCAAGGAAGACTGTCTTACAGTGTCTTCATAACAACTTCCTTAATTAACAGTTACATAATTCAAATGCTGAATACTAGGAAAAGGTTGTTTTGAATGGGTTAAGCTCAGAATTGCTGTTGTCATTAAGTAAATATTCAAGTCATTAACATATATACTTTTAAAAGAACTGATAAGTATATTTCAAATAACTGAATAGCATTTTAGCTTTATTTTTCACCAAGAAATAATTTATAATATGTAAGACACAATGAATGTTATTTACAAGGATGCATTTACATAGTTCCTTCATCTAATCTAAAACAGCTCAAATTAGGGATGGGGGTAGAGGGGTGGAAACTGCAATGATTATACTTCTTTTTGATTGTTTTTTAATTTTCTCTCAAATAACTTGACTGAAAAAAAAAAAACAAAAAAACAAAAAAACGAACCAATACATAAAATGTGAAGTTTGGAGATGCCTAATGTTTAAAAATAACCATTTTAATTGTAATCTATACAGGCTTGATGATTATCTGCAACTCTCAATGCCATTCAGAATTGAATATAAGATGATGAATTTTACAAATTGGATTTGAATTTTAAGCAAATGCATGTGGGTAAATTGTCAACGGTGAGAGAAGGCAGGGAAAAATGCCACATAAACCTTTATTAGATCACCAAACCAAGGCAGCCAGAATAGAATGACATCAATATAACTGTGACCAGTGCACCTCTCTTTAGTTTCCATCTTGACATTCTGGATGACCTTGGATAAATTATTTATCATCTACGGGACCATTTTTCCAGTCTGTAAAGTGGGGATTATAAGAATTGCCAGCTACCTCTTAGGAATGCCAGCAACCAGACCCATTTCGTAAAGCGCTCAGATCTAGTTGGAAGAAAATTGCTATATCACTACTGAGTATGATGACTGTGATTTATGATTCTTCAGACCTTAGAATCTAAATTTGAAAAATGACTTCATCTGGTTTTCTGAATTTGCCTGGTCACTTTTATGTATATAATCAGTTACTCCCATAGTACCTTTGTAAGCATATTTATGTGCATCTATACTGACTGTTAATAATTCCCAGGTTTCAAATTTGGGGCATGGTATTTACTGAGAAGCTCCTGGCATCTGAAGTCTACATGCTTCTTGTAGTGTGAAAGATGATGTTGATTTTTTTGCCCATTGCCAAATGGCAAGGTTTTCTCATTTAAGGGTTACTCATCAGGAAGAAACGCTAACCACTATGCTCACTTTCAACATCTTTTAAATTTTTTATTTCGAACAAATCTTCTATTTCTATGTAAGAGATCAAGATATATACAAATTAGTCTTTGAAAGATCTTTGACCTTGTCCAAAGGTAAAAATGACATAATTTATTACTTGAGTCTATATACCCTAATTTACTTCTCCCCAAAATTTGAAATTGGCATCAAAACACAGATGGAATGGATACTATAAAAGGAAAAAAAAGTGTTAAGTAATGAAATGTTCACTCGGAATAGGAATACTGAAGATTATGTATGACACACTCTGGAATCTGTCCCCTCCAAATCTCATCTTGAAATCTGATCCCCAATGTCAGAGGAGGGGCCGATAGGAGGTGTCTGGGTCGTGGGCAGATCTCTCATGAACGGCCCAGTGCCCTTGCCAAAGTAAAGACTGAGCTCTTGCTCTATTAGTTCATGAGAAATCTGGTTGTTAAAAAGAGTCTGGCACCTCTTCCCTCCAAGCTTCCTTTTTTCCTTGTCATGTGACATGCTTGTCCCAAACTTCCCCTTCTGCCATGACTGGAAGCTCCCTGAGGTCCTTACTAGAAGTAGGTACTGGTGCATGTTTCTTGTACAGTCTGCAGAATTATGAGCCAAATAAATTTCTTTTCTTTATAAATTACCCCAGACTCAGGTATTCCTTTACAGTAACACCAAACACACTAAGACAATGTACACAGAACAAAATCAAAGACAACAGAAAAAGCTGAAAGTAGAGAACCACTACAGAGACTGCGCATATAAAATACTTTTATGATCCAGAAATTTTACAACGGGGGGCCTTATTTGCATGATATTAAATAATATAATAGATCATGCACTTGATCGTAATTATAAAGAAAGCAATTTTTTTTTGTAAAATAGACTATCTTTCTTAGTCAATGCCAATGACAAATTTCTAGACCCATTTCTTTCCAAATTTTCCCTTGACATATTTTTTACTTTCAATAATATCATAGAATTTGTGGGTGTAGGGACTATAATTCCATTTTCAGGTAAGAGGTGAAAGAATGGACATTTTAAAGATATTGAGTCAGAAGAAAAATAATTCATGCTTATAGGTGATTACAAAGAACAAAAAAAAACAAATGAAAATCCATCAGTGAAGGTCTTATTTTGGAGCTGAACAGATAAGGCAACTCTCAAGGTGAACTTTCCATCTGTCCTACCACTTTTTCAGCTTTGTGTAATCATAATTTTTTTTTTGAAATAGAGTCTCCCGTCACCCAAGCTGAAGTACAGTGGTGCAGTCCTGGTTTAGTGCAACCTCTGCCTATTGGATTCAAGTGATTTTCCTGCCTCAGCCTCCAGAGTAGCTGGGTTACAGGCACCCATCACCATGCCCAGCTAATTTTTGTATTTTTAGTAGAGATGGGGTTTCACCGTGTTCACTATACTTCACCAGGCTGATCTCGAACTCCTGACTCAGGTGATCCACCTGCCTCAGCCTTCCAAAGTGCAGGGATTACAGACATGGGCCACTATGCCTGGCCTGTTTAATCACAATTTTTAGCTTCACCAGAAACCTCTGCTAACAGCAGGAGATGAGTTACACATCTGGCACCACTTTGCATGAGGACTATCTTGGATTGAGATCACTCTGTGAGATTATAGAGACCAGGAGACAGCAAATTACCACCTTGCTGAGTAGCTGCAATGGAGGCTGAATGCTTCCCCAAGTACAAAATATATACTATGTGGCCCTTGACAGAAAAAGTCTGCAAACCCCTAATATAGATTAACCCCTTCCTTTTAAAGATTGAAAAATTGAGCCTGAGCAAAGGGAAGTGTCTTGCTCAGAACTGATAATCCCAATGATTGGCTGGGAATCAATTCCTTCCACGCTGAAACATCTGAAACATATGTTTGTCCCCTTTGGAATACAATTAGGTGGATCCTGCAAAGGTTTCATTTAAGTAAAATATACGGTGAAATGATGTAAGTCTGATTTTAAATGTGCCAGAATGCAACTACAAAAACAAATCCATACCCTTTATATATATGCATTCTAGAACCCCCAAGCCCCAGGTGAGATTTATCAAAAAATGATCAAAGATTCTTCACATTATGAAAGTTTCACAAAAAACTTTGTTCAACTCAATAAGAAGTCTGTATCTGACAAATACATAAACTTTAGTAAAATCTGAGCAAAGGCTTTGTTCAACCATGCTGGCAGGTAACCTGTTTTTAGACAGACACAAATCAACTAAATCCAATGGAACTATTAAAGGCCAAAAATTCTAAAAGAAACGAAGATGCTACTACTTGAGAAATATCAGATGTTAAAAGGACCTGCAGGATTATCTTGTGTAAGATGATCATTGCCTTTAACAGAGAGGTACTTTTGAAATTACGTAAATATGTAGGTAGCATTCATAACCATTTTAACTGGAATGCTTTTTCATCCCCCCTCCCAAAAGCGAATTTGAGAAAATTAAATTTGGCTTTAATTCATTAAGCTACATTAGTCTCTCTGAAAACTTCTAATTTTAAAAGCAAGTACTCATTTGATTTTCAAGCAAGGTCAAGAGAACAAGGCAGCCTAGTGCTGACATTACAGGGATATGTCCCACACTGCTCAGCAGTTATATCAATGTGGCGTGTTGCTATGGTGCCTGACTGTTAATTTCTGAAAGAAGGTGATTATAAAGCCGCCAGATGAACATCAATCGGATGACACCACTTCAGCACACAATACTGACATGCGTTACTCTTGTTTGCAGCAAGTTAATTTTATGAATCACCACTTTTGTGATGTGAATATTCCTTTCTAACTTTAAACCTACCAAGTCAACAAGCAAAAAATAAATTTACAAAATAAAAATAAGTTCAGCTTCAACAAACAGATGAGACTTTGATAATATTTGGGGGGAAAATGTGAATCTGTAGACCATTTCTTAAGGGCAACCGTTTTTCTTAGGACCTCCAAAAATGTGCCACATATGTACTTACTTGGAAATAAATACATGTTTATTTGACAAATACGGAACAAGAAACAACTAAATTAAAATGCCTGGAAGGCAAAAGACACAGCAGCCTTACAGACAACTTTACTAATCACATTTGCATTTACCTTTTTTTTGGCTTCTGTAAAGCAATCTTCAGTTATAGTCACCTCAAAAGGTCACGTCTTACCCTGAAAACAAAAGAGAACAACAAAATCTGAATGTCAAGAGAAGTAGCAACCACCTCTGCCAAGGACAGGCAGGAGCAAAACAACAAAAGAACTCAATTCTATTTAATGGCAAATGACTTTCAGGGTTAATAAAAACAAGTCCCAAGAACCTCTACTTATCTGGACCATATGCCTTTGAGCTCTTCAGGCAACAAAATCAACTTGGAGGGAAAAAGTCGAGGTGAAACATTTCAAATTTTGTTATCAACTGTTTCTCATCTTGTTGTCTATCAATTCATTTTCACGTGGAATAATACGTGACTCACAGGCCTTTGTTTTTGGAAACCAGACTGCCACTTGAACGTGTCCGTGTTTGGTTAACATCCACAACATCTCTTATTTCATTAAAGCAGAGGCTTATTTTTTTTCCCTTTCGGAAGAGAGTTAGTTCTTGTAGACAAGATGCTTTCTGCCACTTTGGACCTTTCAAGATGAATGAAAGCACAATTTTCAGTTTGGGGAGTGGCAGAGAGTTAATTGCTGGTGAAAGCTGTTCACAGAATGTTTTTCTCTTAGCATGTATCTACCAGATCTACTAAGTTAAATAAAAAGGGTTCATGTCACACGAAATAAACAATTGAAATCAAGCTTCCTAAAACACAAAGAAACCATGGAACGCATTTTACCCCACATCTACTCCTGCATCTGCATCCTACCATATGCAAAACAGTGTTAATCCTCTAAGAAACATTACAAGCTGCCTCTTTCTGCCCATGTAACTGGGATCAGCATATGGCACAAGTGAAAAGAAAAACATTTGTTTATTAATTTAGATCAAGTTACTAAGAGGGTAGAAGATGCATTCCACAACCATTGACCAAATGCTCATATAATTTTTAAGGTAGCAAAATCATATCATCACTGTACTAAAATGTTAATATCTTTTTGCTCACTCTTCAGAATAATATGTAATGAAGTGGTTTAATTTTATAGGAATATATCCCTGCTTATCCCTCTGCCGTCAGCCCTGAATGTGGAAAGGCAAACATCATTGGGAAGAGTAAAATCTTATTTCACTAGGGCTAAAAATTTGAAAGTGGCACTTTGGTGTGTACTATCTTTGAGGAATTGATCTGAGGCCAATTTATGACATTTCCACAAGCAAGTGTATGCAGATTCTTGCCATTAAGATTGGAAAAAGACGCAGGCTCTGAGTGAAATCATAATTTTCATGTTTACTGTAAGAGGAAATTGGAGGTTTTCACCATAAATGTTCACCATTTGGGTGGGGGAAAACCCTAGGTCTGGGACTTAAAATTACTATTTTGCAGCCTGACCAAAAACCTTTTTGTTTTTACACAAAACAATTCAAATTGAAAATGAAAATCGTGTGCTTTATTGCTGATGTATGTCCCCAAGATTGGTTTCTCCAGTGGTGAGAAGTCTATTTCAGGGCAAGCGATGATAAGAAAGAAAAACAGAGCAAAGATGGTCAGGTCCTCAAGGCAGAGCAAAGATCTGCAGCGCCCCACTCTACATAAATAAAAGCTCAGTAGATACACAGCACACACCAGAAATTCCTACCTCTACCACTCATCAAATCTTAAATGCAAAGCAAGTGAACTTTGGCAGATCCTACTCAATTCAAAGCAAGAACGCCTTTTTCTCTCTCCTTTTTACTTGAGATGTTCTCCAATACATGCACTGTAAACTAATTTATATGTTTATCTATTGAGCTGTGTCTATTTTTGCATGTTTGGCAGTCAGACCTATAGTATTAGACTTTGCAATGCAGATGAGGTTTGCTATCATATAGGCCTGGCAAACAACTGGACCTCATTAAAATTTAATTAAAAAAAAACAACTGCTGAAAATGCCTCCTTTGAATAAAGTTATCTCCAGTGCTGCATTTGAACCTGCAGAACATTTTCAGGTAAACACTAGACCTGTTTTTCTGCTCACCCATCCACACAGTATAGTGTGTAAGAGAACACTGAACAAAAGTAGAAGGTGGTTCAGCCTCAGATTTTACAAGTATCATTTTTTCCCTCTAGGAGTGCTGGGGGAAGAATTAACAACAAAATTCTACAACTTACCCTCCAACTTAAAAATACTGAAACAATACGAAACTGACTACATTTAATTTTTACTTACACATAAAAAAACTGGCAGTGGTATATAATCTCTATCTTTTTCCATTTTGAAGGTCCATAAATTTTGGTGCACATGCACGTTTGAGCACTGACTCATTTACTGCTGTTGATTTTCGTTTTTGGAGAAAGTATACATTAACAAAGTAATCTAAAAGACATTTTTCTAGTTTTGCTGAGAAAAGATTAATAGTTCAACAGCTGTTTGCCATCACGCTAAATGAAATGAAATGTGTCAATATAATAGACAAGAAAATTAAGGGGTAGTACTGGGCCCAGAGTCCGCATCATTAGTAGCTTAGAAGAATTGGAAACCATCAACTAGCAGAAAAATATGCATTTCATTTTTTCCAAAGCATAAAACTTCCCTTTCCAAAGCTATATTTGCTATTTTCTTCAATCACTTTTACTGATCGAATAGATGAACTATTTACCTGAATACTTACTGGCAGCAAAAGCACCAAAACTCAAATTAAATGATTATGCAAAGCTTTTACGTAAAAAAAAAAAAAAAAAAAAAAAGATAAAAGAAATGCATTCCCCTCCAGCCCACTTGTCTTCTTTTAAAAAATGCTGTCTCCATACGAATTGCGTTTTTTTTTTCTTTTTCTCTTTCTTTTTTAAGTTTCCTACTGGTTTTAGGTTTTAAAAGTGAGCCAAGGATACGGTAAACAGAAATTACTTATTTTCCTTTATGTCATTCTCTGTAACAATTAAGACCCTGTGAACACTAGAATTGTTCCATGGCCTCTTCACCATTGATTGCAACAGTATCATTTACCCAAGCTACACGGTGACCACACCAAATTTCAAATATGACCTCTAGGCTTCGACCAGTAATGTACATTCCTCTTTTTCTACCTCCCCAACCACCCCTCCTCCTTAATTAGGACTATTATTCTAAAGGAACCCTCAGATTATTACAGTGTTGCAATATCATATTCTCTATGGGTATTTTTGCCCTAAATTTAATCTGTGTGACATGTAATACAGAGTGTCCACTATTATATCCTACTTGGAACCGAGTTGCAGATAAGTGTGGAGGTGCAATCTCATTTCACAAAACTGAAAAAGAAGAATCTCGGCTCTTTTTTGCCTGTTGATAGCATTTCCCCCTTCCCTTTCTTGACAGCTAAAATAAATTATTTGCATTAAGATTTCTGCATTATATTTCATTTCATATAATTGTGCAAAAGCAACTCTGAAGGATGCCCAACATAGTTCATCTCAACCTTCAGCCCACCCAATACTGGCTGAGAACCTACTGTGTGCCAGTCTTATTAAAGATGAAAAGATGAGCAAAGCGAGCCCCTGGGTGGTGATGAAGGGGGCAGTTCAGTAGGTCTACGGCTAGAGACTCTTTCCTACTAGGAAATCCACAAAGGAACATGGTTCAAACTTTCTATACCCCCAAATCCTCCAGTCAAAGGGCCTGTACTTCATTTGCAAAAACTGGTCCAAATAGGCCAATTTCCAAGAATTTTCTGCCTTTTAAAGTAGGAAATCTTATCTCACATGGGCTTTAATATCTTGTTTTTCAGAAACTTCTTAGAAAACAGAAGGACATCAACATATATTTGATGATTGAAAAATATAATACAAGGGTCACGTTATTTTCTGTACTTAAGAAAATCTGGCTGGGTGTGGTGGCTCAACGCCTGTAACCCCAGCACTTTGGGAGGCTGAAGTGGGTTGATCACGAGGTCAGGAGTTCAAGACTCAGCCTGGCCAGGATGGTGAAACCCTGTCTCTACTAAAAATACAGAAATCAGCTGGGCGTGGTGGCAGG